GGATCAACTTACTAGTTGCACTGGTTGTTGTAATTGTCGCAGGCTTACTTGTTACTGAAGCCACTGGTTTAGCTGCAGTGCTGTTGGTTGTACTAGTGGTTAAAGATGTAGATTGAGTATAAGCCGGGAATGTAGGCTTTGGGGTTCTGTAGTTGTTGCAGGAGTATTATTTAAGGACTTGAAATCTGTACCAGCTGGTCCTTGGACAGCTGCCTGAGTCTGTACAGTACCGGGGAAAAGTGGCTTAGTAACTGGAAGCTGTGGAGCAGGAACTGATGCTGTGGGTGCAGGTGGTCTATTAGGAATACCTGGTGCTGAAACAGCTTGTGCTTGAGTCATTGGGGGAAGTCCAGGATGTGGAACAGGTGGGGGCACACCTGGTGGCATACCAGACATCACAGGTGGCATTCCTGGTCCAGATGGCATCATTTCACACATTGGCATCATTATGTTTTCACTGCGAAATGACTGGGTGTATTTTCTCTGATGATGCAGTCCAGGTGGCATGCCTGGCATAACTGGTGGCATTGCTGGCATCAGAGGAGGAACACCTGACATTAATGGAGGTGGCATTCCTGGTGCTCCTGGAACAGGCAGCAGACCTGGCTGTGCCATTGGCTGAATATAGCCTTATTGAGGCTGAAAAGGCTGTGGTTGAAATGAAATGGAAGCTGCAGAGTCATCATCATCATCATATTCAGCAGAGTCATCTTGTTGCTTTTTTTTTTTTTTTTTTTACACTCTTGTGTGTTTTGTTCAAGAAGTCGTTGTCTTTCATCCATATCTTTTTCTGAATACCTTACATACCATATATTTCCAACTCTATGTCTGTTCTTCCAGATATTACTGCATTTGGTACAGCATCTATTGTCTCTTTATGTACCTGCATGCAATGAATAGTTAAGCCAGGTCCTGCATAAATTTCTTATGACATATATGACATTTAAAATGCTTTGCTTTTTGGTTCTATATAAGGATCTTCTCATCATCAAAATCTCTATTGCAAAATCTCTATTGCATCACGGCTTCAACTGCTTCTTCTACTTGTGACCCATAACTGCTCTCTACTGACAAAGTAAAAGGGAGGAGAAAACAAGCAAGAAAAATGAGACGAAAATCGCTCATTTTTCTGACCCAGCGACTACCACCATGGCCCCACAAGAAACAGGCACAAAATGGCCGATGGCCTCATTTGCCACTCTGCTTCCCCCTGTGCCCATTTTTGAATTGGATTATTTATCTTGATGTTAGTAAGGTGTTGAAGTTTTCTATACATTTTAGAGATTTGTTCCTTGTCGTATATGTCATTGCCAAAAAATCTTGGTGAAATCTTTTGGTACACATAAATGTCATAATTTTCAGGTCTCAGTCATCTAATTTGTCTTCTGTTTGCATGCTTTCCGTTACATTTAATATTGTATTTATGCTCCAAATCAGAGCCCCTAAGTTTGTCTCTTTTTTCATTGATGAAAATGTTGTAGGTTTTACATTTATATCTTTGAATCGTCTTGAGTTTATTTTTGTGTATGATGTGAGTTGGCCAATGGATGTCTAGTTTTGCCCCAGTACCATTTGTCAAAGATCAGCTGACTGGCAGTGGGGGAATTTACAACTGGGTACAATTCTGTCCCACTGATCTATATATCCTCCATTGTATCAGTACCATACTGTTTTGACTATTGTGGCTGTTTAATAGGTTTTGAGATCAGGAAATGAGAGACCTCCTACCTTGTTCATTAGTAATGCTTTGCATCTCCAGGGTCTTTTCCCTCTCCGTATAAAGTTGCTGATTCGTTTATCCCTCTCTTTAAAGAATGATGATGGTGTTTGGACTAGAATTGCATTATGTCTATAGATTGCTTTGGTTAGTTTTGACATTTTCACAATGTTAAGGCTTCCTATACAGGAGCATGGCATATCCTTCCATTTATGTAGGTCTCATAGCAACCTGCATGTGCTTTCCGTTCCTGCAGAACGTGTGGTGATTTCGAACTGCTGACCTTGAGATTGACAGGCCGACTCATAACTACTACGCTACCAGAGCACCTTTTCCTTGTCGTAGTAATAGTATTTTGTATTTTTGTTTGTTTTTTAAAATAGGTCTTTAGTTATTCCGGTTAGATTTATCCCTAAGTAATTCATCTTTTGGGTGGCTATTGCAAATGGTATTGTTTTCCTGATTTATTTTTCAAGAGCTCTCTTTGTTAATGCAAAGGTATCCAACTGCTTTTTAAAAAATTGATCTTGTACTCTGCCACTTTGCTGAATCTTACTAAGAGTTCCAATCATTTTCTTGCTGATTCTATGGGGTTTTCTATATGTAGGATCATATCAACTGCAAATTGAGAGAATTTTGCTTCTTCTTTGTCTGTTTGGATGCCTTTAATTTCTTTTTTTTGCCTTATAGCTCTGGGTCAGACTTCCAGCACAATATTGAATAAAGGGCATTCTTGTCTGGTTTCATTTCACAAAGGGGACACTTTCAGTTTCTCTCCATTGGAAGTGAAGTTGGCTGTTGGATTTGTATGTGTGCCTTCAGTAATGTTGAGAATTTTTCCTTCAGTTCCTGTTTTATTGAGTGTTTTTTTTTTTTTTTTTAAATCAGGAATGGTTGTTTGATTTGCCTTTTCTGCATCAATCAATATGATCATATAGTTATTTTCCTTTGTTGTGTTTATGTAGTGAATTATGTTGATTGTTTTTTTAACATTGACACATCTTTGCATACCTGGTATGAATCCCACTTGGTCATGATGCATGCTTTCTTTGACATGGTATTGGATTCATTTGAGTAGGATTTTGTTGAGAATTTTTGTATCTATGTTTATGAGTGGTATTGGTCTATAATTTTCTATTTTAGTGATACCTTTGACTGATTTTGGTATTAAGGTTTTGCTTGCTTCATAAAATGAATTTTTCTATTTTTTTCTGTTCTGGAATAATTTGAGTAGAATTGGTGTCATTTCTTATCTGAATGTTTGATAGAATTAACTGGTTAAACCGTCTTCAGCTTGGACTTTTCTTTGTCGAGATTTTTTTAAATGACTTGATTAATTTCTTTTTAAGTCTATATTAGTTTCGGTAGATAGTGTGGTTTTAAAAATTTATCCATTTCTTCTACATCTTCAAATTTTAAAGGTAACAGTTCTTTATAGGATCTGCTATACTTTTTATCCTTCATTATTTCTTACTCGTTTATTTGCATCTTCTTTTTTTTTTTCTGAAAGTAGTTTGTTGCTTTTATTAATCCTTTCAAAGAACCAACTTGTTGTTTTATTGATCCTTTTTATTGTTTTTCTGTTTCATGTATTCCTACTCTAGTCTTGATTGCTTTCTTCCTGCAACCATAGGCCTGCTTTGGTGCTCTTTTTCTAACTGTTGGAGATGTTGGGTTAAGGTGTTGATTTTGATTCTTCTTTTGGATATGTGAGTTTATTGCTATAAATTGCCTCCTGAGCACTGCTTTAGTTGTGTCTCAAAGGTTTTGGTATGTTGTCATTCTCATTTAATTCAAGGAAATTTTTTATTTCATTTTTAAAAAGTATCTTCTATTACCAGTAGTTTAGTTTTGAAACAAGGTGTTATTTAGTTTACATGTAATTGCTTTTTTATTTCATTTGATGTTCCTATTGTTGATTTCTAATTTAAGGCATTGTGATCTGAGAAATGCTTTGTTATATATTTTGATGTTTTAAATTTATTGATGCTTGCTTTGTGGCTTAACATATGCAGTCTACTGTGGAGAATGTTCCATGCACACTAGAAAAGAATGTATATTGTGCTGTTATTTGTTGGAATTCTCTGGACAAGCCTACCAGTTCAAGTTGGTTGATTTGAGTTGTTTAGTTCTGTGTTTTTGTTGAGTTTCTTTCTAGTTCTATTCTTATTGAAAGTGGTGTATTAAAATCTACTGTTGTAGAGTTGTCTTTTTCTCTCATCAATTCTGTTAAAGTTTCATATATGTCTTTTTAGTCTCTTTTGGTAGCATAGATATTTATTACTGTTATGTCCTCATGTTCAATTGGTGCTTTAATCATTATATAATTCCCATCTTTGTCTCTTAAGCTAGTTCTTGCCTTAATGTCTATTTTATCATAAATTAATATTGTCACTTCTTTGTTAATTGCTGAAATTGATGTATGTTTAGTCTGTTTTTATCTTTGTAAGATGTATTACTTGTAAACAGCAAATTGACAAATCCTGTTTTCTTACCCATTTTGCTGCTTTCTGTCACTTGATTGGGGCATTTAATCAATTTACATTCAGTATAATTATCGATAGGTATGAATTGATTGCTGTTGTGATGTGTGGATTTTTTAGTGGTTCTGGTTTCTTCCACATAATTGTGCTGAGTTCATTTTGTTTATGGGTTTTGTCATTTTCTTCATTGCTATTTTAATGTTGCTAAATCTCCTTTATTTTGTTCTTATTTTTTATATTGATGAGAAAGTTTATTAAATTTTTTTGAGCTTAACTTGTAATTTACTAATTTCTTCCCTAGTTTAAAGTAGTCAGTTTTATCTTGAAATGTACTTGACTTCCACATAATTTGGAATTCTGTAACTGTGCTTTTTCCTCATTTTGCTTTGTAGTTGCCGTCATTATAAGTTGATTTCTTTGATTTCCTATTTTCAGTTTTGTAGGTTTGTTTTACGTGGGATATTTGTATATCTGGGTTGACTTCTGGGTGGTGTTGTCATATATGTTTTTATCATAAGAACTATTACATAAGACTTCTTTTGATAGAATAATTCCTTGGGAATTTTTTATAAAAAGAGTTACATAGAAATTTTAGATGTTCAGCTTTATTGGTTTTGTATCTAAGTAATTTGAAATTAAGCACCAGATGCTTTCTGAAACAAGGCACAATCCAATACCAGAAAGCATAAAGTGATTATATGGATATCATTAGCTAACATTTGAAAGCTTACTGTGTAGCAGACACCATTTATAGGCCTTTTTATGTATTTTCATTAAACATTCACAGCAGCCACTTGAGAATGGTGCAGATATCTGCATTTTGCCTACTAAGAACCACATCACAGAGAAGTTCAATTTCTTGTGTTCTCCAAAGTCACATATCTACTGTATTTAACTTCAAAGAGAACCTGAACTATAGACACATGGAGGTAAAATCTCAGTTCAGGTAAATTTTTATAGAATTATTAGTCAATACTTTTTTTCTTTGTTTTTTTTTTTTTTTAGGGTTTGTGCATCAGGATCTGACAACCCACCTGTTAGTGATAGTAGACAAAAAAATTGGGAATATTTTGTCGATAGCCTATTTGAGGAAGCTCAGAAGGTTGGTGCCCAATGCTTGTCGCCCACTGAAAAGAAGAAAAAGGTAAATGTTCACCACTACTTTCTCCTCCATGTTTTCTCAATGTATGGACCTCTTTGAAGATCATGAGGTCAAAATTCTTTTCATAATAGTAGTAGGTTATGATTTCCCTTCTCACCATTACATTTCCCTGCTGTAAAAGCAGTGGTAAGTAAAACTGCTGGTGCTGTACGTAACAGGAATCAAGGCAATGACACCAAACTGTACTGGGTGTTACTGTAGTCTTTGCTGCATGAACTTGCAGATTTTATTTGTTTTAAACTAATTTCAGTTAATAATATTCTTGATTAAGCAGTAAAATCATTAATTTCATTAAACCCCAACCCTTGATTGCACATCTTATTAATATTCTGTGTGACAAAGTGTGAAGTCCACATAAAACATTTATGCATTAGAAAGCAGACTACTGCCATCCATAGGTTTCAGTATCTCAGGGTTATAATGACTGTGATCTCTCAGAAATAGATGGCTAGGCATCTCTTCTGAGGTCCCTCTGCTTGGATTCAAACAAACAATCTGTCAGTTAGTAGAAAGCTCCTAACCTTTTGTACAACCCAGGGACTCCTCATTGACCATTTGTCAAACCAAACCCACTGCCATTGAGTCAATTCCAACTCACAATAACCCTTTAGGACAGAGCAGAACTGCCACATCTTTCTCCCGCAGAGAGGCTGGTGAGTTTGAACTGCTGACCTTCTGTTGGTTAAGCTAAGCACTTAACCACTGTTCCCCCCAGACTCCTTGCATGAAGAGTCGTGGTGTTGATGTGCTGTGAAGTCAGTTCCGACTCATACTGACCCTGCACAGGGTTTCCAAGGCTGTAAATCTTTATGGGAGCAGAAAGCCTCAGCTTTCTCTTTGTGGAACAATTAGGCCTATGAAGTGAACAGTGACACTCATGAGGAACATGCTCCTCTTAGTAATTAACCAGACCAGACTAAAAGGGCAGCATTTGTTCTAAAGCAAAGTTAAGAAGGCAGGAAGATGCAGAAAGGAAGGAGGAATGGATATGGGGAACCCCAGAGAAGAGTGCTGTTATATTGAAAGAATTGCAACTGCTTTCACTAAAGAAAATATAAATTATTGAATGAAAAAACAATTTTCCCTGTAAATTTTCACTGAAACCACAATTTGGGGGAGGGGGGGATTGAATTTGTAGTGATCCTTACTACACAAAATTATATATATATATTTTAAAGTAATAGCATGATTTGTTTTCGTTGTTGTTGTTAAATGCTATTGAGTCTGTTCCTAATCATAGCGACCTTATATAGGGTTTCCAAGACTGCAAATCTTTGCAGAAGCAGAAAAATGCTGCATGAACAGTTAATGATGAAGGACGGAGTCTTTCTTTCTCACTGTGTTCTTTGACTTGTCTCAGAATGGCTAGAAATGAGGTGACTTGGCCCGAAGCTGCCAAGAATGAAGTGTTACACAGATGGCAATATGAAATGGAACAGTGGAGAGGTGAAGTCTGGATCCAGTTCCAGCTGGGAATTGAATTCATGCTGATCCTTACCACACAATTAGCAATAAAAGTGGAATTACCCCACCATGCCCTTTTTTTTCATTAGTGCAGGGTTCTCAGTAAGTTTTAAGAATTAGGAGGGATTTTAAGACCTAACGTTTGAGAACTGCTGTTTTATTTAGTTATTTTGTAAACAAAGCTATTCATTACAGCAATATTTTTAAACGGTGAAAAAGTTGGATGCAACTTAAATGTTCAGTTATAAGTTATTGTTTAAACTATAGTCTATCAATTTCATGGACTAGTGCATACTGTTGTTAGGTGAGTTGCTTCCGACTCATATAGTGACCTGTGCACAACAGAACGAAATATTACCTTGTCCTGAGCCATCCATACAATTGTCATTACTCTTGAGCACATTGCTACTGCCACTGTGCCAGTCCAGTTTCCTCTTTTCTCTGACCCTCCACTTTTCCAAGCATGATGTCCTCCTACAGGGATGGGGCTCCTGATAATATGTCTGAGGTATGAGATGAAGTCCGGCCTTCCTGGCTTCTAACAAGTATTCTGGCTGTACTTCTTCCAACACAGACCTGTGCTCTTCTGGCAGTCTGTGATACCTTCAATATTTTTCTCCAGTACCACACTTCAAATGCATCAATTTTTCTATGGTCTCCCTTAGTCATTGTCCAACTTTCACATGCATATGAGGCTATTGCAAATACATGGCTTGGTTTAGGTACCCCTTAGTCTTCAAACTGACATTTTTGCTCTTCAATTCTTTAAGGTCTTATGCAGCAGATTTGCCTCATGCAATATGTCGTGTGATTTCTTGACTGCTGCTTGCATGAATATTGATGGTTGATCCAAGCACAATGAAACCTTTGACAACTTCAATCTTTTCTTTATTTATCTTGATGTTATTTATTGGTCCAGTGATGAAGATTTTTGTTTTCTCTGCATTGAGGTGCAACACATACCAAAGACTGTAGCCTTTGATCTTCATCAGTAACTGTTTTAAGTCCTCTTCACTTTCAGCAAGCAAGGGTGTATCATCTGCATATTGCAGGTTGTTAATGAGTTTTCCTCCAACCCGATGCCACATTTTTCTTAATATAATTCAGTTTCTTGAATTTTTTGCTCAGTATACAGATTGAATAACTATAGTGAAAGAATACAACTTGGTGCACACTTCTCTTGTTTTTAAACCATTCAGTGTTCCTTTGTTTTGTTAGAACAACAACTGCTTCTTAGTCTACGTACAGGTTCCTGGTGAGCACAATTAAGTGTTCTAGAATATTCATTCTCTGCATTGTTGTTCATAGTTTGTCTTAATCCATATGACAAACCTTTGCGTAGTCAATAAAGCACAGGTAAACATCTCTGCTTTTAGCCAAGATCGATCTGACGTCATTTCACATCTGAATCTGAATCTGGCTTGATCCTTTGGCAGTTCCCTGTCAGTGTACTGTTGCAGCCATTTAAAAAGTTTTCTTGAGTAAAACTTAACTTGTATGCAATATTAACAATATTGTCCAATGATTTCTGCATTCCTTTGGGCCACCTCTGTTTGGAATGGGCACAGATATTGATCTCTTCCAATCAGTTGGCCAGGTAGATGTCTTCCCAATTTCTTGGCATATATAAGTGAGTGCCTCCAGTGCTGCATCAATTTGTTGAAAGATTTCTATTTGTATCCCATCAATTCTTGGAGCCTGCTTCTTTGCCAGTGCTTTCAGTGTACCTTGGACTTCTTCCTTTAGGATCATTGGCTCATGATCATATGTTGTTGTTGTTAAGTACCATGGAATCGGTTCCAACTCATAGTGACCCTGCACAGGGTTTCCGAGGCTGTACATCTTTACAGGAGCAGAACACCTCATCTTTCTCCTGTGGAACTGCTGGTAGTTTCAAACCGCTGACCTTGAGGTTGGCAGCCCAACTCGTAACCACTATGCTACCAGAGCTCCTTTCATATGCTACCTCTTAAAATGGCTGAACATGGACCATTTATTTTTCGTACACTCTGAGTTTTCCTTCCATCTTGTTTTGATGCTTTCTGCATCACTCAGTATTATGCCCATAGAATCCTTCAATATTGCATATCAGGGCTTGAATTGTTTTCTTCAGTTTCCTCAGCTTGAGGAATGCTGAGTGTGTTCTTAGGGAAAAAAAAAAAAAGCTGAGTGTGTTCTTTCCTTCTTGAGAAATGCTGAGCATGTTCTTCCCTTTTGGTTTTCTAACTCCAGGTCTTTGCACATTTTGTTGTAATAATTGACTTTCTTTTCTTGAGCTACTCTTTGAAATTTTGTTTTCAGCTCTTTTACCTCCTTATTTCTTCTATTTGTCTTAGCATCTCTTTGCTGGAGAAAATGTTTCAGAGTCTCTTCTGACATCCATTTTGGTGCTTTTCTTTCTTGTCTTCTTAATGACCTTTTTCTTTCTTCCTGTGTGATATATTTTTTGAGGGGTGGGGGGTGGGAATTTACACCAAAACACTCAGGAATATATAATCATTTAAACAACCAAAGGGCACATTCTGCAAGCTTGCCTCCTGGATGCCAGCAAACAGTCCTTCTGTTTCCATGAGCCTAGAGACTTCACCTGCCCCCTGTCTCCATATCCTCATCTCTGACTCCATCTCTGGTGTCACTGCTTCTCTGGATAGGGTCCCACATTCTGTTCTGTATGATACTCTTTTTTTTTTTTTTTTTTCAATAGAAGCAAATAACTGTATGATATTCTTGATGTCATCCAACAACTCTTCTGGCCTCTGGTCATTAGTGTCTATTTTATCAAATCTGTTTTTGAGATGATCTCTAAAGTCAGGTGGGACATGTTCAAGGTCATATTTTGTCACTCCTGGACTTGTTTTAATTTTCTTTAACTTCAGCCTGAACTTGTACAATAGCAACTGATGGTGTGTTCCACCGTCTACCCCTGGCCTTGGTTTTTTTTGTGTGTGTGGGGGGGAGGGGGTTTCCCCACAAATAAGATCTTTTATTTGTCACCATTAAAAGTCTGAATTTTAAAGAGATTCTTGAACTGGTGGCTCATAGCCATAATCTCGTTCAACTTTAGCACCTGTCTCATCTCCAGTAGCTTTTCCAGAACTACTGCCCTTACCATGAAGCTCCATAAGTTTTCCCAACTCAAACTTGGGCTTCTTCAGCATTTTTACTTTCCTAACAAACACATCATGGAGAGGGTAAATAGACTGGCAAGCCTTCTCGATGTCCTTTCCAATGCTGTCTGGAATCATTTTTTGACCACTTCTTTCAAGTCATTTGTCTGCACCTCTCGGGTCATGATTTCCATCATTTTCTTCCGGATTTGACGGACCTATTGGTGCTGAGCATAAGATGTCTTCCGAGTCTGGTTGTTGCATTTTTTAGTAAAACCAACACAGAACAGGCGAAGTAAATAACCGTCTGTAGTCTTGACATCAATGTGAGCTTCAATCATGGTCTGCCATTTTTTGACCATGGAGCACATTTTGTCACAGGTAAGATCCATGCCATGGAAGTTGGTCAAG